ACAAAAACTTGCTCAAACATTAGTGACCATTGGTGTATTTTACCCAAAATTTAATTTTAGTCATAATGAAAATAGAATTTAAACTCGCAATAATTGTAACATCTTCTACCAGGTCTAGATAGAAACTGGATCAGAGATGTTAACAGAACTCAAACCAAAATGAAATGTTCATAAATCATACATGACATCAACTTGAAATCATCAAAAACAAATTTTGATAATCATAATTCAAATATCATATCCATTACTATCTTTTAATAGTCAAACATTATCACATTATAACTTAAATTCATGCTTATGGATTATTTTCAAACTCATCAAAAAATTCAGAGATTTATCAATAAAATATTGAAGTGACGAGAATTGCTCACTTAAACATTGTCACACTATCAATACGAATTAATCAAAATTATTAAACAATTTCCAATGTAGCTTTTGATTACGAACTCAAACATATCATTTCATAACATGAAAGACTAAATTGTAAAATTTCAAAATCTGACTTCCAACCTAAAAATCTGGGTAGCAACCTTAAATCTGGTTTCAACCTAAAATCTGAGTTGCAACCTAAAAATCTGGGTTGCAATCTTAAACCAAATCAACATGCCAAGACATATCATCATGGTCACACTCTTTCAAGTATTTTCAATTAACATGTCAAACCTTAACATACTTATATGACATTATGATCTAAGTAATTCATTGAAATCATCTCATTCGTGAATAGTTCATACAATTTAGCCTATCGAAATGATATAATCATGTAACATGAAATCATTGCATCTACCTAAGGCTTTATAGTCATATACTTGCATTTGTGATTTTACCCATCACCGTTATAGCACCTAAGTGACTTCTAAATGATCAACACATACCTCACTATCAACATAACATACGAACTTTTCAATCTTAACTAAAAGATATAAAATTCAAACTACACATTTATTACACAACCAAAACATATACCATAATTTAGGAGTTTAAATATAAAGAAATTATACTGTTTATTTTGGAAGTGACTTGTAACGTCTTAAATACAATCGGCGGGCAATGGAATTTATTTTCGAATACCCTAGATCTTCGTAGGAATCTTGAGCGCTTCATTCTCTTATCCGATTAGGAGTTTCTAAATATGTATTTGGATTTGGCAATCAATGACTTGATTTGAAGGGATTTAATTTTAAAATATAAGAATGTTTAAAGATGATTTGGAAATGGTGAGAAGGAAATAGGTTGAAGAAAACATCTCAATGTTTTTCTCTTTCCTCCCCATTATTATGTCGTGAACCACAAACTAGATTGGTTCAAAATTTTCATTTTAAAGAAAATGGTTCAAAATCATAACTAAAGGCAGGGCCGACCCTCGGCCAGGGCTGGAGGGGCGCCCGCCCAGGGTCCACAAAATAATTTTTTTAGTATAATATTTTTTTAGTATAATATTTTTTTTATTTTTCTGATAATAAATTAAAAATTGTAAAATAAAATAGAGTAATATATGAAATTAGTACCTAAACTATTAGTTCTGATCCGTTTTGGTACTTAAACTTTTAATTTTTTCAAAATCATATATAACGTTTAGTTTTTATTTCATTTTAGTATCCGTCGTTAAAAATTTAACGCGTTTAGTATCTAACTATCATTTTTTTGTTTTAATACCTAAAATTTCAAAAAAATTTAAAACTTAACGTTAAATTTTGAATGTGTACTAAAATGAAATAAAAAGACTAAAGTTTTTAACGACGTGTACTAAAATGAAACAAAAACTAAATTTTACATATAATTTTGAAAAAATTAAAAGTTTATGTACTAAAACAGACCAAAACTGATAATTTACGTACTAAACACGTAATTTACTCAATAAAATAATGGAGCCCATAAATTTATTAAGGTGTGAATTATCTTTATTGAATTTTATATTAACGGTAATAAATTGTTCTTCCATAAAATTCTAATTTAATATTTCTTTCTCAAAATTAAAAAAAAAATCAATTGAACTCTTTAATTTTGGTCTTTCCAAATTCCCAATATCAATTCACCAAATCTTTTTCCCGATTTTTCATATCAATAAAAAAAATTAGTAACATTATTTTTTTCAAAACTGAATGAGAAAAAAATTACGAGAAGAAAAAAATTAAAGTATAATTAACATGCTTCTTTTCTCTTTCATGTTTCACGATTCATCTGAAAATTATTATTCTCATTTTTTAATTTATCATATTTCTCTCACACGTAAAGTCACAATTGTTTATTATCAATTATGGTGCTTGAATCATATTGGAGATTGTTCTTAAAATTCTAGGTAGACCACATTTTCAAATTCTTTCTTTTAATTTTATATATTTTCAAATTCTAGATAAGCTCGTTCTTTTATTTTCAAATGTTATGTTATGTATTGAGAAAAATATATCGGAAATCATTGACGTTGATACTATCATCAATGGTTTTGCATAAAAAAATGATTGAATGTAATATTTTTTTTATAAGTATTTGTATTCTTAAATATATTTTTGACATCTTTTATATTGTAATGAATTACTATTTTTTTAATTAAATAAAAAATCTAATAAATTTTTTAAATTACATATTTTTTAAAAATATTTATATTATGGGGCCATTTTTTATTTTCTTCCCGAGCCTAAAAATACTCAGGACCAGCCGTGACTAAAGGACACATGGATAGAGACTCACCATTTAAAGAAATTTGGGTAAATTAAGATCTTAGTCTTATCTTTTACAAGCACATGAAATGGTTTTCAAATTTCACTTGCATTCAAAGATGCAAATTTTACAATTATTTCATTTTGGTCCTTTTTCATAGAATTTCGAGATTAACCTAAATTACTTTAGGATTTATTCTGAATCAAACATATTATTCAAAAGCTTGATTCAAATAAAATAATAATAATTTTTTATCATCAAAATTAAAAAAAAAATACTAGACGAATTTTGGGGTGTTACAAATCCCCTTAAAATTCGTCATCGAATTTTCCAAATGGTAGGGCTAAAGATAAATATCGCACATCTTAATCAAAGAAAATTCTTATTTCAAAGTTCCATGATTATCAAGTTAAGATCTAAATAGGTTTTTTTTTTTATCAAACTTAGGCTAAATTGAAAAAAAGATTTGAAAGATTCTTGCAAAGAATGAATGTGTGAAATGTATGAGGAGGATTTGAACAATACTTGTGTAGTTTAATGACATGAACTAAAACATAGACTCGATTGAGTTCATAAGATAGATATATCTGATAGGCTACAAGACCTATCATCGAGAGTTGAACTTTCTTTTATCAAATATGACTTTTAATTAACGAGAGTTGAACTTTCTTTTATCAAAGATGACTTTTAATTAATCATCATTTGAAGAAGTTTTCCTTTCGTTTCTCTAAAAGTTTCAAGCTTAACGACTGGTTTTCTCTTAATTCAAATTAACATAGAGGTATTAACCCTAATATGAATACAACTTCAAATAAGGTCATTTGAAAATGAACCTATTAGAGGTTGAGATTTCTCTCTTCTTGCCTTAACATCAGTTGTATAAGATTTGAGCCTGTTTTTCATAATCTACCGGAAGAGACTGGAATAATTTCTAAACTTAAAGAAAATTAAAGATTACTTGCTAAAGGAGTTACCTAAGTAATTATTTATGATTGACCTTTTGCATGAGGATAGGAAATCATACAAAGATGCACTTGTGCTTCTAAAACTTCTTACATGGACTTTCAGAAATAAGATATGAATCATACATGTATGCATGTATGCATCATGCATGTATGCGTGCGTGCGTGTGTGCGTGTGTACGTGTGTGCGTGTGCGTGTGCGTGTGCGTGTGTTACTAATAAAAATGTTCCCCTTACACTAATATAAAAATTATTACTAATAAAATGTTAATAACTAATATAGGAGATGGGCCCCTATACTTAGAGGTATTCATTATTCAGTTTTAACCGAATTAACTGACCGAATCGAATTAGTTCGGTTAATTCGGTTGACCACCGATTTGATTCGATTAATTCGGAAAACGATTAATACTTTTATCAATATCCGGTTAACGGTTAATTTGGTTCGACTATGTTATTATTTTAATCACACTAGACTCATTAAATTATCAATACCTAATTAATTGTTAACTCAAATAAAAAAATACATATATTATATTTAAATTAATTTAATTATAAAAAAATTATATTTTTTTTGTTAATTCAGCTAACCGACCATAATAACTGAACTTTATTCGGTTCAGTTATTATTTTTAAAAAAAATTCAATTCTGTTAATGGTTAAAGAAAAAAAAATTCGATTAATTCGGTTAATGATAACTTGATTTGACCTACACTGATATAAAATTATAATATTTTTACACATTTTATAATTTTTATAATATTAGTTATATTATTAATTATTCTAATTTATTTTTAGTTGTCCGACGAAATTATAATATTTTTACACATTTTATAAAATTATAATATTTAACATTAATTAAAAAAATTAATTATTGACAATACACAACTTATAAATGTAACTACTCGGACTCAAAAGTTCTAAAAATATATCCCATTTTAAACGGGTTCATATTCTAAATTGTTGAATATACTAATACAACCGTATTCTCCATACACATAAAATTATAGATGAATATAATATTTATACTACTACATCCATAATACCGCCCCACTTGCTGTATATTTATCAGCAAAATTTTATGTACAGATAAAATAGTCGACATCATAAACCTACTTGAGACTTGATATGAACATCGTACGTAATCCGTATGAATATAAAACCTTTTTGGACCAAACTCAAATTCGGATCAACACTGAGAGAAGTTGTTTTGCCAACTCTGTGGCATTAAAACCAAAAGCCTAACTAATACATGACGGTTAAATTCAATCCCAAAACCGTCTAAAGCAGCAAATGGTGGGTGCAGAGAATTAGAAAATTCAAAAGAGGCTTCACATTAAAAACCAAGTCTGCAAAGCAATCATGAATGTTTTACCGATTGACAAACGCCTAAGATTTATTCAATGTCTTGTTCTTAATCTTGATTCGGAATTTGGGAGCAGGAGTTGCTTGAGTTGGCTCGGTCCTCGTTTCCAACTTTGGGATCACTGCCTTGTTCGGTCCACTCGAATTCGCATTATCCACTTCCTGTTTGTTACCAGGCAACTCTATGTTTTCCTCTTTCTTACTTCTTAACTCGGTTGAGGGTGCCTTCGCTTCACTCAGTAGCTTTGCCATCTCCTTTTCCTTCTGTTTCTTCTCCTTCTTCAATCGCTTCTTCTCCAGATACTCCGGATCATCTCGCTCTCCTTTATGCTCTTCACCTTTCCTTTTCTTTTCCTTTTCTTTCTTCTTCTTCTTCTTTGACGACTTCCTCCCGTCCTTCCCCCGTGATGAAGGTGCATCGTCCCTGGAAACTGATAGTGTTTGTAAACTTGCATACTTTTTTGCTTCGGCATCTATGTAGTTATCTTGAATGGTGCTTGGTAATGAGGGATCATCAGGCTGATGGTGCACGGACGCCTTACCCGAATCGGCAGTACACTGAAGCTCCTTACCAAAGTTGTCATCTTCACTCGCAATTTTCGCACTCCCAATGCTAGCAGTAATCCGAGAACCATGATCATGAAACGAGTTGACTTCTTCAACATTTTGGTTGCTAATGCTCACAGCCTCGGCTGAGTTTCTCTGGGGTGCATCCACAGAAACCGAACTGGTTGCGCCCCGATCGGCATCATGATGCCTTCCTTCAGATCTTTCCTCTGCTTTACTAGTTGTCCCCGACTGTTTGACCCTTATCTTAACAACAGCCGTCTTCCTCTCATGACTGGTTTTCTCATGACTGTTGGAAACCGTATCTACTTCCTTTGGAGCTTCTGGAATTGCCAAATTGTCATGCGAATGATTCAGATTGTCCATGGGAGGTTGAGGAGGTTTTATCTCTGTAACAAGAGCAGCAGAATTGTTCCTCTGCTCATTGCAAACCTCCACGTTACCCATACACGGTAACTTATCTTTCGGCACTCCATATAATGTCGGGGATCTGAAAATGAGGGCTCAAAATTTTGATTATGAAATTTGTTTCAAAAAGAAGACAAACTTATAGGATTCTCAAAAAGAAAGTACTAATTCGAAGAACAAATAAAATGGAAATTACGAATTTTGGACATAAACCTCCTATAAATAGCGTAAGAAAACAAGCACTACATCAAATTCACCGGTATGTTTCCCCCAATAGGACAGAGTATTGGACCATAAAAACAAAACAAAAGGAAATTCACAAGCTTCCAACACCACAACCAGTTTTCTCATTCTTAGTGTTTGCCGCATCTTTTAGCAAATAATAATTAGAGAAAATTTGTAATTTTCTTACAGTTTCTCCAGAATTTTAAAGCATAAGATAATTATATGTTTTCAATCATTAGATGTATTCTCTTCCCCAGCAATATTACCCCCTCGAATATGAGGCAACTACTTGTCCGAAGGAAAGTGCCGTCTAAATTCTAAAGAGAGAATATGAGAATGCATACGCACCTTCCTGCAAGAACTTGTAAAATGCAGAATATGTAGTGCCGGAAGAATACATTATTGAATGCTATGCGACTTTCTAAAAGCTTAAGCAAACCCACAAGGGCTTCTGCCTTGATATCCTCTCTAGAAACCGATCCACCTTGTATCTGACATAATCGCAGAGCATGGACACCTAACTTTACCTGACCTGTAATCAGATAGTGTATCTTAAACAAATATCAATACATAATACAAATAAAAATAAGCATAAGATAACATCAGAAAAGTTGTAGATTTTTTTTTCTTTTAACAGAAGGGAACCTCTTAAAGAAGGCTCTTCCTCTATATACTTGATAAACAACAACAATGCCGCATTGATGCCATTGCAATGAAACTCAAGATCAAGCAAAGCTCTGCTTGCTTCTATTCGGACTTGCCAGATGGTCTTGAAATCTCGAAATGGTTTAATTAGTTCAAAGACATGATCCTGCATGGAGAAACAAAATATATAGAGAAATATAAGGAAATATGTTGACATTATTTGGTAAGGGATCAGAGAAAAACACACTAGATGGATGAATCCAGAAAGCTTTAATGCAATCTGTGCCAAGGTCCGGATGCAACTGATTGTCAATACCCCATTGTAACTGGGCATCAACCTGGTAAGTATCATACAATGTGAATAACATGGAGATCATTTGGAACAATCAGTCTTTAATCAAACAGATCAGAAGATAACCATCACCTGTCGAACTGCAAAAGCCGATCAATGCGCTTGAGAAAAGAAGATAAGAAGTGAATACTCTGAAATAAGAGGAAAAAAAATGTAAAAAGGATAGCCTTGCGTATGAATGCTTTGAAATGACATAGGTGATGCATGACCAAAACCAAAATCTGGAACATTGGAAAAATATCCTTTACTCCCGAGTCCCGACATATCCCATCAGCCAAAAAGAAATTTAAAGGGAAAAATGTAGAAAAAATAAAAGTATAGCATCAGCATCAGAGGAAAGGAACATAAATAAGATATTAATGCCCAGTAACTGATATGTATTTTCAGATTATTGCATGCATTGTCCATTGCACACGCATGCAAAGAATATGAGTGAAGGGAAGGTATGCAGCGGAAGACGAATCAATGGGTATGAATTGCTACATATTTCCCTAAATTTCAAAAGCCTAACATGTGGGAAGAAACACCCACAAAACAAGAAGGCTCTAGTTTCTTAAGAACCGTTTACTGTTATTCCCAGTAGGATGTAGTAACAGAACAGAGTCAAACAGACAGGAAAGAACTCTACACAAAGGAGTTCTTAAACAAACTAAGACAAACAAAAAGGTACTGTAAGTACAGAATATAATTATATACCTGTTGCCCAAATTCAAGTTCACCAACTGACTGAACTAATGCAGCAAGCCAGAATACATCCGAGTAAGTATTCTCGTTATTATCGTTATACTGTCAAAGTGCAGTGGAAAACAGAAAGCCAGAATAAGAAAGGGGAAGTATCAAACATAAGAACCAAAGCAAATAACTGAATCATCATTTATGAAAATAAAAAAAGTGGAGTGCAATGAAACAGTGAGCAGTGTATATCAGTAACTGCACAAAAAAGAATGGTAGGAACAGCCTCGAGTCATACACACGCACCTATACGTATGTTTTACTTAAATAAACCTTGTTGTCCATCTTTAAAGTCATTTATTAATTGCTACTCTCTGACAGTGCAAAGTATTAGCACAAGTTTTTCTAACTTAGAAAGTAAATCCTAGTCCTTCCAAGTCTCCTCCCATGCATGAAGGACCACCTTATCTTGGACCTCAGTAGCATATAAAATACGAAGCAATTACTGATTGTAGAATTTGAATATTTAAAGTCTTGTTTCCAGAGTATTAAACATCGTGAACATGTTTTTCACTTTCCAAAACTCCAAAGACACATGCCATGTTCAGCTTTAGATCTTGCAGAAGTTCGACTTTTTAACTCTAAAGGGTAGTTGCCTTGCTATTTGCTTGTAACTTCATAAACAAAAAACTTATGGCAGAACTATGTTAGAATTGGTGTGGCATTTGGTTATTCATTTTATCATAATGATTTGTCTAGTTATCATTTGCTTTGCATTTTAGCAATCTTTTAAGCGCAAAAACCAAATAGCAAGTAGCAAAAGCAACAAAGAAATGATGCCCAAACAACAAAAGAAGTGCTGCCTGACAGGCAATATGATTAGTATGAAGATAAAACCAGCAAATTTTATAAATATGCCACAATGTTAAAGTATAAAAAATCTGAGAAGTCAATCAAGAATCTACATTCTACATACGCTTAACTTGTTTTTAGCCAGGACAACAAATCTTCCTCCCCAAAGAAGAAAAGAGAACAGCAATAAAAAGACTTCTCGTCTCAGCTGATATTTTTTCTTTTTTTGAAGGATTGGACAGAGGTAGTCTGACAGGGTTTAACCAATAGTAACTTAAGTTTCATCAAACAGAAAAACACAACCTAAAACTTCAGCACAAATTTCGAAATTCTTATCAGACTATCTTTGAACAAGCTCTCACACTCTTGGGGAATGTCATATCCCACAACGATGAAACGTTTCAGATAGAGATTCCTCAAGAAAAATGAAAAGCTGCAATAACAACGATTTTCTATATTGCAAAATTAGGAAGCCAATTCCCCGCTTTTCTATCTCGAAAAGCAAACCATGCAAATCAAAAGAATAAAAAAAGGGTTCTATAATTTATGCAGGCAATTGACCGCTACATATAATTTATTACTCGCTGAAAGAAAATTTCATGAAGCAAAATTAGAAAGCCATCACTGATGTAGCTTAATTTGCATAAGCATTCGAAATCCAGTTGATGATCGTGTACAATAAGTGTTAGCCAAGGTAAACCATACCTTCAAAAGTTGCAGAATAAACTCAACGGCTTCTCTTGGGCTTTTCTCGTCTGCAGCTCTTATCGTGGCTATGGCATGCGGAATGGCCTATGAAAACAGAAGGATGCTTTTAAGAACTCCCACAAACTACATATCAGTTATAAATTCAGCAACTCAGGGTTAAGTACTAAACCATACAAGAAGCATCTCAAAGTAAAGGAAAAATCTAAAATTCAAGACAGCATACAGAACATAGTTCACTTCCATCTTCAACACCAGAGAGAGCCAAGTTTTACATGGAAAATGAAGTTAAACTAGTTTATGATAAAAAAATCCACATGGAAAATGCAGTTAACCTAATTTACAAAGAAGTTCCACATGAAAACAGGAAATACCTAATGTTACTATCTTGGACCTAGCCATCACTTTTCAAATCACTAGATCAAATATTTCATGAAGTGTTTAAGTCAACTTCCATAAATGAGAAATTTCACAAGCAACAGAAGCATCCAAGTTAGTTATACATTATAACATAAAGACAGTTTACCACATAGCCTACCTCATAGCATTACCTCAAGAACAAAGTACTCTGGAAAATCTGAGAAGTCATTGGGTCTGGCAAGATCAGCAGGAAATGGAACTTCTTACAAGGGCATTTTAACAATCACTGATGAATTGAGACTTAGGTAAGAAACTCACTTTGGTAATCCAATATCAGTGTCAAACCTTCGACTTTTATAAAACTTCACCAGATGTTGCAAACCAGCCATATCAGTTTCCTGCCAGCCAGAGAATGAAATATAATCCCCATGCCTAAAGCAAATGTATAAAAGCACAAAGATGACAGAAGATCAATTAAGATATGCAATCTATCAAAGAAAATCCGAACAGCACACCTACTTTTGGGTTTTGAGAATACCAATGTTAAAAAGTACTACTTACATGATAAGAACTATAACAGATCTCACTGTTGAACAACAACAAAAAATTAAAAATTTGGACACTCCAGGCATATGGATCATTGAATGTAAGATGTTAAAAGAAAACATCAATCCACGGCAACATTTAGAGCATTATGCAGGAACTCAAACTCATGCAACTCAAGAAGACATGCAATTGTTACAGAATAACTTCTCAAAATCATAACAAAAAATTCTGGCGAGGAAATAAGTGAAAAATAGGTTTGCTGAATTTCATCACATCACTATTCATTGAAGAGCCTCAAATGCTGGCGACGATACCTCAGAAGATGTACTAGCCAATGCAAATGCTGCCTCAATTCGAACCCTCCAGAAGGCCTTGACACCATGATAAAAATTAAAATGATCAAATTCAATTCACAACGACTCGTTAACCAAATAATTCTTTAGAGAACAGAAAGAACCTTTGTGTCAGTCAGGAAGTTATTCAGTGCCTTGAGAACAGGAAATGAAAGCTCTGGTAAAGATTCTAGTGATGTGATCGCTTGTGCCTGAGCTACAACATCTTCATCCTTCTCTAACTGATTAATCTGATCATATTAACAATTTTAAGAAGTCAACACCAAGGAAAAATTAAGTCATTGGATGTAATTTATAAAGAACAACAGATACAGCTAAACCACTGGGTGAAAAAATATGTAAACTAACAGGAACCTAGAAACTCAGTAGGTGTCTTGTTCAGTTTTATCAAATACAACTAGTTCTTGGTAAAATTTCCCTTTAATCCAATTATATTGATCAATGACAAATAATTGGGCTTCAGTACGGAATATGGGCGGAGCACACTTTGCCTCATTAAAAAAACCCCTTCATACTTCTCGGATTACTAAAAAGTACTTTGATAGGTAGCGGAAGGAGGAAAAGAGTGCCTCAGAGCACACATGAAGGGTTAGAATGTATGCTCTCCCCAAGTATCACTAAACGCGAAGCACATTTTGACATTTACTTTTCTTTTCAATGCATAGCTCTTCTTTTGCATAGAAGGCAAATTCCAAGTTCAATATGAAGGCTTCAAAATATTGATTTTAGTTAAATACAAGCTCCCGACTTACTGAAATTGAAATTTCAAGCTACTAATTCAAGAGACAGTTAACAATCAGTAATAAAGAACTTTATCTAAACTCTCAATAAAAATATCTAGATAACGGGCATGGTCGAAAGCTCGTTAATAAAAGGCATTCTTTAAATATGTACAATAAATTGAATTTCATCATCTGTGAATTAATCTCCAAAAAAGAAAAATTGTCAGGAAGAAAATTTGAGCACAAAAAGTTGTGTTCCCAATAAATTTAGCCAGCAGTAACCAAGTAGCATGTCATCTTTTGGCAGTGACATTCCCATGTTCCATTACCCAAAATATTGAAATACAATGCAATGGCTTTAGTATATCAACTATGTGGCAAGAATCAACAATAGAAAAGAAAAAGACCATCTTTCCCTGCTGAATGGAGGAAACATAAATAACTATATACAAGGCAGCGGATGGGAATAATTCAGTGAACATAGCAAGTGTTATGAACATGTTCTAGGAGAAAGTAACCCTTTTTAAATAAGGCCAAGGAGAAATGTCAAGTCCAACTATGATCCTATCACTTTGCTTAATATGATATAATGATCCTAGCAACATAAACTGATTAAGAATATGGCCTTAGATCCTCTAACAGCATCCATAGTGAACATTTTATCTAAAACAATTTCTTCTTTCTTTTTCTTTGGCGTGAATAGGATAAATCAAAGGCAAAACAGGAGTTGGGTTTAATCATCTGAGGTATAATTCAATAGAATATAAAATTGATTTATAAACTCGTAGTTTGGATGAGCACAAGAATACAGATGGAGTATTCCTGCAATACCAGTTGCTGAAAAGGTAGAAATATCAAGTTTTAGCAAAAACTAGTTTTGGAGCGGGCATTAAGCATTTATTAAGCATGGAAAGAGTAACATCCACCATCCCCTATAACGAAAGGAAAAGAAAACCATAAATAACAGGACAAAATAAGTAAATAAGCCCTATGCACTTAGGCTTTGCATTGTATAAGGATGAAAATTTGTTAATCAAATAGATAAGATTGATACCACTTTCCTACTTTGTAGCTTAACTATTTGATTAACAAATTTAACATACTCCTTTCCATCCTTCGTACCAAGCAAAGCCTTAATGGTTGCTTGAAATTGTTAAATTCTAGCAAGTGAGATCTACGTCATGCTGGGTTATGCAAAAACATTGACAAACAGCAATGATGGAGAACAGTTCATGTGCATCTAAAATTTATTTTTGTTAATAAGAGAACAAAAACAGAAGAAAAGAAGGTTGATCTAATTTTTCTTGGGTATTATTCAATAGAAGACATCTACATTAGATGAATACATGAAAACAGGTTTGAGATACCTACAGGTCCAGTTGGTGAATGATGGTGGAATTGTCAACTGTTGGCTAAAAGATAGTTTATGGTAGGGAAATCTCCACATTTTGGTTAAGCGTTTTACAAACATGCACAGATTAAGAGTCAATATTCCCTCTAATGGTTGGGAGGGAACCCTTAAATCATCAAAGAGAAACAAAGTGAGGATGCAACCTGATAATCCAAATGCACTTAATGATTGCTTAAATTGTCAAGGAAAATGACCATCAAGCTGTGTCATGCAAAAGCATTGAAAAGCTGAGCTAGAACTGAGAACAATATCTTTCTTACCCACATCTGCACAGGTTGATTAAAATGAATTTCAGTTAGATATTCCATCTCAGGATCTGCCCTAATCCACAACAATGGAGAGTCTACACTGCAAAATAACAATTAAACATGAAAGAATGTGTTAATGGAATCTTCTAGAACAAGTTATACGCAATAACACCACATTGAGATGATAAAATACCTTGAACGCATATCTGCTGTAGGCAAATCACCATTCATCAAGCCATCAGGTTTTGAACCTTTTTTAGGCTTCTGGTATCGTCTAGCAGCAAGCTTTGAGTGGCATGCAATTTCCAGCAGCTGCCATGCATCTCCAGCCATTGGAAGATCTGGATGATCAGACATGCCATCAAGCTCATAAACCCTCACAGTCATAACCCCAGGCCACCCGATATCACCATCTCGGTTTTCAGAATCAGGTTTAGCATTCAGAACCGATACACTTGAATCAATTGTAGCTGTGCATTCGCGCAGAACTGCCAACTCAATGATATTTTTCCGCTTGTTGTAGGAAAACCCCATCCTTATAAATTGATGGTAAGAAAAAAAAAACATAAATAAAACTAGCACAAGGATCCCAAATGCAGAAGACAAAAAATACATTACTCACTTAAATCATACCTGAGCACCGGACATCCATAGAATCCCACCCACCGAGGAAAAAATTCTTTCAGAAACGGACGCTCCAGATTTCCAATTTTGTTAGCAAAATGACGGAACTGAATATAACAGTTTATAGCTTGATTAATGACCCAGAAATCTGACTAACTTGTATTTGAAGTAAAACATTACATACTTATATGAAATAAAAAACAAATAAAATACATAACCATGAAAATACTCGCATTCACCATTATCCAAAAAAAATGGCCATGCAGAACTATATATCCCTATCAAGGATCAATATGGTATTGCTATTGTTTTATCTACTCTTTGTTTTCTTTTCCTCCCCCACTCCACCACGGGAAAACATTTAGCGCAAATCCATGTTGGCTGAGCATGTTTTCATTTTCAGAAGCTAAAAACCGATAACAAATCTTGGAAATGTTGGAAGCAGAAAATGTTTTCAATATTTGGAAATACTTTTAGCGCGATCACCATCAGGCATAGATGAACAGCATCCAGTCTGAGCTAGGCCAATTTATTAGATTAAATTAAGAGTCCAAAAAATTGACAGGAGAGGGGCTCAAAGCCCTTCAATTTTTTAATTTAAGGATCAACCACTTTTCCTTGTGGACCTCTGTTGTCAAGTTACTACATCAAAAACATGGTTTTAAGCTCCATTAATTTAAAATGAAAGAAAACATAGTTCAGAAATCTTGAAAAGCCTGCACTTAATTAATTAACTCATAGCTATTGTAGATGGCTCGAACGTCAAAATTAACAAAGTCATCATTTTCATAATTATCTCTTTATTGCTGTTCCATTAACACTTCAATTATTGTTCTTCGACAGCACAATGGGTTCTAATTAATTTCTTTGCCAAATATATCCCCAACATGGACTGGAATTTTGAGTGTTCCCATAAATCCTCAACATTACTAAGGATTATTAATGACATGGAATTTAGATCGGGAATTGTGATAGAATCTCAAAACCAATTGCATGAGAAAAAAAAAGAAAAAACCAGTTTGAGGATCCCAGCTTGGAATCAGGTGGAAATTTAACCTTCCCTACATAGTTCAAATGCCTATATGTCACTCATGATGCATGGCTGAGAACACCTCACTGATTAATAGAATTCCCCGCAATTCAACCATATTCATAGTCTAACAACTAGTTTCCTCTAATGTTTGTTTTAATAATCATAGCTGTAAGCACATTTATCTACGATTGCAATCTTTTTGACCCATCTAATCTTCAGTATGATGATACCTTGGTTTCAACTAAATACGAAAAGCATTCCACTATCAACATTTCCCCAAGTTGTTGAGGAATTTAAAGAGTTCTTCAAAGCAAGTAATTTTCATAGCATTCCACCAAGAAAGATATGTTGGTTACTTCTTAGAAATGAAAATAAGGATCATGATGAATTTTTTATTAGTTTCTTATTTACATTTTACCTTCCATTTAAATATCCATAAAAATTTAAATGCTAATTCATTGTCACATTCATTTATTACCTTAGGAGAAAGGGCCTAAATGAAGTAAAAAATAATATAGTTCTTTGGAATAAAATAAAATGTTCTATCCAAGAAAACCATTTTTTTTATAATCTGCCAAGTTCCTCCTTCCAATTTTCGTTGACATACGGTTTAGTATGTTGATGATTACGAAGGGGGTTTTTAACGAGGCCTCCAATTCTTACAAAAAAAAAAACCTGCCAAGTTCCTGAAAATATATGGAAAAATCTAATATGAAAAAATCCCCATTTGATTTCAAACTAAGTTCAAATAAATAATTTATGGTTTCAAAAAAGGTTAAAGAGGATTATTTTCAAATGTCTTAAAACTATTTTTGTCAAGAGTTAAAGATTATGCATGATTAATTGGTACCACATGTGGACAGATGCCGTGATGAGGATGCTAAAACCTTCCTCACGAGTACTCGCATTCCCAAGCCCCACATTGCTTTTTCTCTAGTTTTATTTGCATGCCTTAAAATTTAATTTTTCATAAATTTTATCTAGTTTAGGGTTTCTAGAATGATAAAATTTTATTGGCGATCAGCTATAGCTTACCAAATCAAATAGCAGCAGTTCCATTGTGGATGTTATGACAACCAGAAAAGCAATTAATAGAAAGCTGGCACATATATGATAACAGCGAGTTAAAATAGAGAACATATATTATCACCTCTTTGTACTAAGAGACCTCACAGCACAGTTTGTACTTTGTGCACGAGAAATTATTGCTTGCAGAATCTGTAATTGAAAAAAGAAAACCAAGAATAAATGAGCGTCAACAAACAAAGCTGATTCCACAATTGCTTTGTACATATTGTCCAAAATGCCAACTCCAAGAGTCAAGATGATACCCCATACCTTTTTGAAGAAGTCGGGTCCCATCTGCTTTTCTAACATCTGAAGAATCGCGACCTTCAGAGAAGAAAAAAGTAATAAAGAAAAGGCCAAAAGATATAACGACAATAATGTTAGTGCTCCCTTGGTTATTTCTGACTCTCATGCTAGAAAATACATTTAATTGCTACTTCTTCTCCAGAAACAAAAGCCAATATCAATTTTTGAAGAAGAGCAATTAAAAAAATGAAAACTAAATATTGAAAACTTTATGTACAGCATAATGTCTTATTAGGCTTGTATACACAACATCCATGTTTCTAAGCGTATTACAGTTTAGCCATTTACTAAAGTCCACCAAATACAATTTTACCTTTCTTCTCAATGTTCTTTACATTCACGTTTTCACAACTTTTGAAGAAGTAATTAATAAAAGCAACAAGATGAAGCCAAAATAATTTTTGCCTCTATGTTCTTGAACTCATTACTTATTAAAGGTTTCTTTCAATATTCTCAGTCAAAAGAAGTTTGAGAGAATGTAGTAAACATTTAGGGGGCAACATGACATGAAAAAGAAATAATGAGTACTTACAGACTTCCATGATCGTATTTTTCCAAGCAAACCAATGGAATGGGTTCCATACAAATCCTTGCAAGAAGACGAGGAACTCAAAGCTGTTGCACCGCTATCATCTGCTCTGCAGACAGCACAGTTTGCCTACATTTACACGAATAAAATAGCATTATTTTGCATTTGACGTGTGTTTTTTTTTTTTTTGGGGGGGATATACATACATCTCATGCATATCAAGAAAATGAATATAATCATGCTAAACTTCAGAAAGATTATGAATAGCAGCCTCCAGTACTAATTGAAAAATAAATCGCAGACCCATCCACAATATGCCAACGGTGCAAGAATTATTAATTCTAATTTTGGCTCTAGAAGATACAGAACATAAAGCAAATTGAAAGAACAAGGTGGAGCTTCTCTTCAACCACCAAGATTCAAAATGCAGAAAAGGTAACTTTTAAAGGATCTAATTAGCAAAAATGAACTCAACATGTTAGCTGGGGAAAGGGAGCAATTATAGGCATATAAATCAAGAAATTATGAATATTCGGATGATGCAACCTTTAGTAGGGAAGACCAGGAAAAATAATCCAGAACCTCAGATATTATGATTCAAAACTCCATTGTAAGTATTATCAATAAAATAAATCCCCTCATAGAGACAAACTTCCCAAAAAGGGTTTGTATATATTTTTTGTTTTCTTTTGCTTCTTCCTAGATTAATAGATATGGTAAAACATTTGATACCAATAATAATAATTATCTAATGATACCATATTGTTCCTGGGTCTTAATATTTCTGTTTTCCAGTAAAGGTAGAAAGCAACTTTTTTTTAATTCTCTACTCTTTTCCAGACATTACACAGATTAAGAACTTGCAAATGGAAACAGCATCATATACAAGCAAAAGGATGAGGATGTCAGGTCAACTTTAGAATTCAGGTTTTGTTTAACACGTTAATGATAAAGGAACCCATCTAGTACTAGCAACCTAACTAGGTAAGCCATCAACTTCAAAAAGAGAGTTAAAATAAAGAGTATTCACTTGAACTACAGAAGTACAGAGGAAGCCAAACAGGTTCTCTGTTTAGCAACCACAATCAGCTTCTCCATTAATTTCAATCTTTAAAATCACAAGATAAACAAGTCATTCACATGGGATTAGAAATATTGCTTATGGTATCTTACAAGACTCCACAAAAAACAAACCTTGTATCGTCGATAACGTGCCTCATTATTCCCCAAAAATTTCTTGATAAACAAATCTGTCAAAAAACCAGCAAGACCATCCAGCAGCCACTCTGAAAAGTAAAGATAAAGCGGTCAAATGAGCAGTAACAGATACCTTTTCTTCCAAAGTTTATCAAAATAAATTACTACTTAATAAAATCGCTTAAATTTCAGTCAAGCCATACAAGCATCAGCCATTATACATCAACATACCATCATTTGGTGCCTCAGGAGTAATATATACCCCAAACCACTGTCTTGAAAGAGCGAAAGCAAGTTTGATGCATGTATCTATTGTCTGTCAAGTCATAAATTTACTCATCAACAACAGGATGAAAGACAAGAAAAACTCGACACCTAGCAGACATGTCATATGTTGCAGTTCATGCTCATATAGAAGTTCAACCAACTCTGAAGACAATTAACCAGGAATAACCAAAATTTTAGAAAGAAACAGAAAATGCATCATAAACAAGATGATTTGCATTGTAGTCCCTATTAATTGTCAAAAATCTATCCTATGCTATATCCAATTCGTAAGATGGGAAAATAAGCAAAAATTTAAGATCATAACAAACCCAAATCAAACCAAAAAAATAGCCCATGCTCTAATACAGATAAGCGATTCATAGTTAACAAGATTATCATTAGTTTAACCAAGCAAATATTGCTCCTCGTAGACAAGCAGTATCATGAAGTTTAGTTAGACTACCATTTTGTTGGGCTTAATACAAAAAGGTGTAATGTACTTTGCATCTTAAACCGACTCCTAGAGAATAACGCAAACAAGCGTCTATATCTTGAATAAACTCATAAGTCATAAGGCTCAAAAATATAAGTTCAAGCAGTGAACAAACCTGGTCAATGACCTTCTCATCAAATAAAACCTGAGAGGTAAGAATGCACAAGGAGGCTCCAAAAGTTGAGGAGGATATTGCCATTTCAGGAGCCAGAAAAACTTGCTTGTATGTCCCAAATGGAAATTTCGCATCAAGATAGTGTTCATACTCACTGTGCAAGTACAATGTTAAACAACTGAAATGTAAATATCCTAATTATGAAACGAAAGAAAATATCTTATAATAAAGTGAACAAAACCATAGACCAAAACCTGAATGCGTTATGAAAAAACTCCACCGTGTGACGTAGCTTTGGCAAATTAGGTGGTAAACACATATGTGAAATGAGACCGTTTTGCTGATCAGGGAGGATTTCAAATGGTCCAACTGCTAAGGATATCCACTGAGCAGTAACAGGAACATCTAATCTGTAGACATATGTCTTGCGGGGAGGGTCGTCTTTGCTCAATACCTACAAAACAGAAAAACTAGAAAATCAGAACCCTCATCTATAATTGATAAATCTTTATTATAACTAATAAAGAGAGTGAATGAAGAGCATTAGGTTCATCAGGTTTGGTGATATCAGCCACCTGCTAGAACACTAGGGTTAAGAGAAACAAGTAACATCTTGAATGAAAAATTACTATACTAACAATTGTAAATAACGAAAAAAAATATATTATGAATCAAAAGACTAATATTATAGCAAAAACACTGAAACTTCCAACCAGATATTCAGCTCTCAGATTCAACACCAGAGAAGGCATCAAATCAAAGAAATAAGGAATAACAATGTTTGTCTAAATAGTCAACAGTTACGGTCTTGACCATAGTCACATGGATCGCGGTACGCTCCGGTACGGGAACGTGGAACAGGATCACAATTCGCTAGGTCCCTAAAATTCGGTACGAGGGGGAGTACACTCATTTCGGATTGATCCGGTACGATGCACCATATAAATTGGTACGACAAGAAGATAAAATCAGAAGATAAGAAATCCATAATCTATGTTAAAGGAAAAGAAAAGAAAACAAACCCAGTTGTCCAGCACCCAGACAAGAAACAAAGCGCCAACAAAAGTAAAGTACACAGCAAACAAAGCAGGATGGATTGAAAAGTAGAATTAAGAAAACAGAAAAGACCGACTCAAGGTCTAAAATAAAATAGGTTAAAAAGTACTGGACCTCGCAACCAATTAACCCCCTAATCACCTGAAACACGGCTCATATCCCCCCCCCAAACTCAATACGACGTTGCTTGGGCCCTATTCTATACGACGTCGTTCTACTAGGCAAATATATGGGATTTTAGGGTAAAATTTTTACCCTAATTCATTATCTTCTTCAGCCTTAAACCGACCCCCGTCGTTCCCCCATTTCCTCTCCCTCAAGCTCCTCTTTAACACTCGACGAAACCCAAAGCCTCCATGGCTTCCGCCGTCCTACGCTTCGACGAGGAGCTAGGACTCCATCTAAACCCAAAGCTCATACCAAATCGCAATTTTGAAACGATTGGAACGCGTTCGTAACGCGTTTTGGATCGCATCGTACGGTACATAGATCGTGGGCTGTTGAGCGATTTCTGTAACTATGGTTCAAATCACTGGGAGATGTTTCACAAGGCTCTTTGCCTGATGTTTACTTCTTCCATGAATATCACCTATGATTATCAAACAAAACTCGTCGAAGAGAGTTACAAGCTTTAGACTTTGTTACAGATTTATAAGCTAAATCTTAGGATTAGTATATATTGTATTTAATCTAGGATATTACATAGTTAAGGTAGGATATTACTTTACATATTATAGAACCTTTAAAATATGAGAAAACATTCTATTTCAAAATTCTACATGCTATCTGATGTCCTAAAACAATTTTAGGGTTTTAAAATTGGGATTTTTTTCGTTGTTTGGATGTCGAAAACAAGGGGTATTGTTGATCTTCAAAGGACATGATTTGGAGACTTCTTTTGATGCTACCGTAGGTAGGTCCACTGTTCCCCAATCAGTCACCACCAAAGTTTCGCACGAATCCCATGTGCCACCAGAAGGGTTTGTCGATTATCCACGTGCCAACGCATGAGAGAGTTTTTTGGAGCCGTTTTCTTCCTTTAACATCAACAACCAAATCTGTCCACAACCTTGTGATTGGTTACTGCTGCTGATTCGTGTTTGGTGTGTGTTTTTCATTTTTGTATTGTTTGGTTACCAATTTTGTGGTGTGGTTACCTTTTTTTGGATATAAGTTTGGTCTCAATTTGGGTATTGGTTTAGCACTGTTTCGATGTCTGATTTGAGTTGTCCTAGCAGAATTATGTAATTGTTTGGTCGTTGAATCTTTGTTGTCATTGTGCTCTTTTTGCTTCAATTGTGCTGAGATCGACTTCGATGACATACTTAACTACAACAAGTTTGACTATTTTGTGGATAATTTGTTCTTAATATTTTTTTTCGTAAAAATTTCTGACACATACAGAGTTTGTGACACTATTTGCAAATGAGTATGCTACTTTGATTCAACTTCAATAAATTGTAAAGCATTCATATGATCCTATTTTTGTTCTTGTTGAGTTAAGTAAACCTAATACATGTCTTATTTCCACCTCTTCAAAATAGGTTATTGATTCTAGTGCTACAAATCATATCTAAAATAATCCTAATTTACTTTCTAATTTTCATCCACATATGTCTAGTAGCCCTATTACATTAGTCGATGGTCAACATTTAGTGTTATTGGATATTAAATAGTTACTCTTATTCCATCCCTTCCATTTATCATTTGTTCCAAGTCTACCACAACAATATGATTTATGTTAGCAAAATTACAAGTGTCCTTACTTGTTGTCTTATTTTTTCCTAATTTTTGTTTGACTCATGATCCCAAGTCGAAAAGATAATTAGTGAAGGATATTAGTCTGATAGTCTCTACACTCTTAATACCCAAACACGTATATCAATTGCATGTGTCAATATCGTTATTCCTTTTGACAAGCATTGTCGTTTGGATCACCCTTTACTTTTTATGTTTAAGAAGCTTTGCCCTCAATTTTCTCAGATTTCTTGTATACATTATGAACCTTGTCGATTTGCTAAGCATCATCGCCTTGATTCTACTCCTTGAGTCAATAAGCAAGTTATCGTTCCTTTTTGAGTTGGTACATTTTGATGTTTGGAGACCTAGCCCAATTAACTTGAAAGCTAATCTTAAATGTTTTGTTACCTTGGTTAAACATTATTCTAGAATAACTTGGCTTTATTTAATAAAAAACTTACTCAAAATTATTTTTTTTTCATTTTTCTTCCTTTTGTGCTAAAATTCAAACCTAATTCGACAAGACTATTTAAATTATAAGTAATAATGCTAGAGAATATCTCAAAATTGAGTTATCGAGAGAAAATTACTTCTAGGTTGTTGATGTATCTAATGCTTGCTTCCAGAGCTTTGTTATTCCAAATACAGGTTCCTAAATACTTTTGAGTTGATGTCGTCTCTATTGCTTGCTTCCTCATTAATCGTATCTCTTCCTTGATTTAATCCAGTAACATCCCTTTCCATACTTCATTTCAAAATAACAACTTATTTTCTATCACACCTGAAACATCTAGTTGTACTTGTTCTATTTGAGATGTTCAACTCAAGTAGCAAACTTCATCCTAAGTCCTTAAAGTGTGTTCTTGGGATGTATCGTGTTAAAACGTTATCATTTTATTGTCCAAGTCTTGGTAAGTATCTTGTGTCTGCTGGTGTTACCTTTTTGGAATGAACACCATGGCATTCACTTCCAATTCAAGTTCTGTAAGTCGAAGGAGAAGGATTTGTTACTTTATCAAGTTGTCCCAAACTCAGGTTTGTCATCCTCAAAGATTCCCTTCAAATTCATCTTCTTGCGTTCCGTACGTCTACCAAATTCTGCAACTCTAGAACCAAGTCCTTATGAGCATCCATGTCCACCTAGTTTTGACCTGTTCTTGAAAATCTAGAATCATATCCAAATGAGATAGTATCTTTGTCATCAGATTCGACTACCACAAATGATCTTGATCTTCATATTGCCTTTCGAAAAGATTAACATAGTTGTACCCATACAATTTCTTTATTGTCCTATAATTATTCGTCTTCTTGTTCTTCTTTCATCCTTATATTAAATTTGTCCCTAGAACCATCGGCAAGGCATTAGTTCATCCTGGATGACATACAACTATGCTTAGGGAGAAAACTGCTCTAGATGTCAATGGAACCTAATCTTTGGTTACTTTACTCACGGGTAAAGAGCTATTAGGTGCAAGTGGTATTCAATGTCAAATTCAGCTCTAATGTTCCATTGAAAGCTAGACTTGTTGCTACTTATGGAGTGCATTATCATAACCTCTCTTTGATTGTCAAACTTGCTTCTATCAGATTATTTAGCTCCCTTGCAACAACTTTTAGTTGGCTTTTGCATTAGTTAGACATAAAAAATATGTTTCTACGAGAGGATGGACATATGAAACAATCACTTGATTTTATTACTTAGGGGGTGTATGGGAAAGCATATCATTTGAAAATAACTCTATATAGCTTCAAGCAGAGTCCTAGGCTTGGATTGAGAAGTTCAACCAACTATTGAGAAGTTGGGGATGCAAAAGAGCAAGTCAAATCATTTTGTTTTCATAAAAAAAAATGAAGCATTATTTTGTAGTTGTCTATGTAGATGATTGTAATCATAGTATTAACAATCGGAATTTCATCTTTGAAGTATTTTCTTCATGGTTAGTTTCATGCCAACTTAGGGTTTTTGAAATGTCTTGAAAGTTCATGTTAATAGGAGTAAGGATGGAATCTTCATATCCCATAGAAAATATGTGCTTGATTTACTATCAAAGTCAGCAAATTGGGTGCTAAACCATAAATAATCCATGATTCCTGAATTACAACTAACCAAAAAAGGTGAATTATTGCATATCCTAGGAGGTATAAAAGACTTATTGAAAGTTGAAATATCTTGTTGTGATACGTCCCAATGTTTCTTATCAGGTAAATATATTGAGCCAGTATGTCATCGCCAATTCCTTATCATTGGAAGGTAGTAAGGTTCTACACTATTTGAAAAGTGTTCTTGGACATGTAATTCTATATGGCAATCATGGTCACACTAGGATCGAAAGTTTTTCAGATTCAAATCGAGTAAGATGAATGAACGATAGAAGATCTACTTCAGTTTTTGTATTTGTTAAAGGAAACTTGATTTCATGGATGTGTAAGAAAAATATAAAACTAAATATAAAGTCATGACAAAATTTGTGTGCAAAGTCATACAAGTATATCAACTCATCATTGAAGTGGGAATTAAGGTTCTAGCACTTGTAAAGCAATGGTGTTTAAATCAAGAAGCACTTCACATTGCTTCTAATTCAGTCTTTTCATGAACAAACAAAACACATTAAGGTTGATTGTCATTTCATTTGCGATAAGATCCAAAAGGATTGGTTA